GTAACTTCCAGGAACCATTGGCACAACATACAGGAAAGCTTTCTGCTTCTGGGTGTGTGTCTAGCTGGCATCCTTTTTGGGTTACCACACAGTTCGGTCCCTATTTGCACATTGCTTGCACAGTCCATTTTATCACTTATGGGTTATAAAGTCCATAAGAGCACATTAACTGCCTTGCAGGGCAACATTGGCAGAAGGAAGGGGAAAATAGAGGGAGGCAAGCCATGTTTATTTCCTTCTGCTTAGCTATAAGGCAGGGCTGTCTCAAGTAATTTTGCTCCCCAAGTGGATAGTATGGGAGGACAGCCTCATGGCAATAGGTATGGTTCCCTCCACCCCGACTTATGTTGTTGGGGCTCTGCAGTGACAGCTAAGGTAGAAAAGCATCTCCTCCTATGCCATGTCTTCTAGGTTCCAAGGGTCTGGAAAGCAGTTCCATAGCCAGTTACAGGGTTGCCAACTCTGGGTTGGGAAATACGTGGAGATTTGGGGGGGTGGAGCCTGGGGAGGGCAGGGTTTGGGGTGGGGAGGGACTTCAGCAGGGTATAATGCCATAGAGTCCACTGCCCAAAGTAGCCATTGTCTCCAGGAGAACTGATCTTTGTCATCTGGAGGTCAGTTGTAATAGCTGGGAAATTTTCTGTAGGGGAAATGATGTGCTGTGGTTGGGGAACATGGTGATTTCTGGGAGATCTCCAGGTCTCACAGGGAGATTGGCAACTCCAGTGGCAATTTAAGGGAAGATTGGGAGGTGTATTTACCTCAGGACACATTCAGTGACTCCCAACAGGAAACTGTTTAGAATGTTAGAGGCAAAGGTGAATCAGGCCACATATGCAAACGACCTCTTGTGTTCCGACTGGGTATTTAGGGGGAGAGGAACAGCATACTGTTTAGAATGTTGGAGGCAAAACTCAGGCAACGCAGCCAGTGGATAGGGACAGCTTCTGAGTGACACATCATGGCGCCAACTGATTTAGGAGCATGTGGAATGTTCAGAAAGTGCCACCCCACTACTCAATTATATATAAGGAGAGAGGAGAGATATTCTGACACCTAGTAATGTCTATGTCGTTTGATGGGTGTGATCTCGGATTGAGTAGAAAAAGTACAGATCTAGGAAGAGGGACTGTTCCAGAACAGTAAGAAGACCAAAAGAAAAAGAAGGCTGAAAACTGGAAAAGAAAATGGACAGAGACAAGTGATCTGTATGGCAAGACCCACAGGGAGATGTAAGTTTATATAATGGTCTAAAATAAACAGCAATAGGATTCTGGCACAATAGTTCAAGTATTTTATTATTGCAAATGCAGACATATATATGAATATATACAAACACCATTAAAGACTTTTTGGCAAGAATTATGGAGAAATTTACCAAATTACTTTATGCCAAACAAATAGTACTAAATGGGAATGTCTTAACATAATTTAGTATTTTTTTAACTCACTGAAGCTAGTGCAGCAGATGTGTCTTTCTTAACCGTCATTACCAATTATGAACAAACATTATACTATCTACGTATAGGCACCAGGATGTCCCATCACCTCAGCAAATATCAATCTACCCCTCCTGGTCTAAAGAAATCTTTTTAGCAGATATAATTTAAAAATCTGGCTTAATCAATGGTGCAAAGATTGCTTGCAGTTCAATCCAAAAGATTTAGCCAATGTAAACATCCTGACTGACACAAAAAAGCAACACTTTTCAAAAGATATGTATACCGGATACTTCAGCAGGCTGCTAGAGGTTAAAGTGCTCATAACATTTTCAAGGGCATTGCATAAAAATTGATTTTGCACCAATACTGATGCTCTCATACATTACAGTAAGTGTGCAGAGTTAGAGAACGTGGTTAGCCAGAGACTGTTCATACTACCCATCAGGTTAATGTACTCAGTCATCAGCTGTTACATCCACACCACACATTTACTGTAACATACCTAAAAAAAAATTAACAGTAGTATCTGCTTGTCTTGGCATGGACTGCTGAAGGCCACATGGAAAATCTATGGTAAACTGAAAGGCTGCTGTGAATTTGCATACTTTAGTTTCATGTCATTAGCACTGTTTGCATAGCATTTTTGTGAACCTGGTCAATGCCAAACTGTAGTTGGGAAACACACGGAAGCCCTACAGTAGTCTCATTCTGAAGAGGCTATCCTCAAAAATGAAAAATATAAAACAGCTCTGGAAAAAGTCTTGTTACACAGACACCGAAGTCATGGGAACTGACTTGCAATGAATTTGTGCTTCTTTTTATTTGTTCTCGCATTTCCAGTTTTTAGCACTGGTTGTCATCACATTTTTAAGCATTCCTCTGCAAATGAGGGATAGATACTTATTTCAAAATTTTAAAGCTAGAATGCTTTGGATTCTAGCAAGTTCATGGGAGCTGAATACAAATGCCTTGTGAGCCTACCCCACCCCCACCTAGACCTACAGAAGGTGACTTTCTCGTACCTTAATTCTGATAAATGATTAGTGGTAAATTAGAAGAATTTGTTGTGCTTCTATTTGTTAACAAAAACATTAAGTTAAACTTCCCTAACCTCCTTTATTATCTACAGTTTAGTGTCAGCCAGCATACAGTTAAAATTGTCTTCGTTTTTAAAAGTACGTTAATACTATAAAGATGCACACTGCCTCACACACCATTAAAACCTGTGCACGCACATTAAACAACACATTTCGTCTTCTTTTGAGAAGCAGACTAATTTTTCTTAGCACTTCAACATGTGCCTTTTAGACATGTGCACAGAAATAACAAAATCTGGTCGCCACAAAACAAACATTTGAAGAATTTTATGTTGCCTTTGGGAATGTATTGGCCCAGTTTCATTTGCAGTTTTTAATGCAGGCCTTTACAGTCACTATGAGTGAAGAGTGATGTTACATTAAAAGACAAGTCATAGCAGGTCCCTCAGCTACAGTGCAAACCTGGCTTCCAATCTGAATGACACATATTCCAACCAATCAAATGGTGGCTCCATCATCAGTCTTGTGCCTCCTCCCCATGCTTCAGCTGGACTGCCCACTATTTTATTTGCTGAGATGATTAATTCAAAAAGGAAACTGTTTCCTTAAAAGTGCAAAACGTCTCTGGAGATATTGAGGGTACGTATCTTGGTGGCATAATGAGTACCAGTATCTTGGTGGCATAAGGAGTACCAGCCAATCAGCACTGTCCACAACCAGCTTCTGCTTTGAATCTGCAGTACTGTTTGTTCTGAAGCTTGACCCTTTCAACAAAAGTAAATTTGGATTAAATTCAATTAGGGCGTTTCCAAATTGTGGCTCTAAAGATGTGCCCTTCTTCATCAAATTGTTATTCTTTGTGAGCAGACCGGGGGTGGGGGCAACCTTATAACAAGCACATTGTGTATACATTTAATCATAAAAGGGAAGAGATAGTTACACCCAAAATGTTTCAGACTGATCCACTTTCAAGTGGTCCAGCCTACCGCAGTTCGTACAGACAGTCTTCACAGGCTTGCTCGTTTCAGTTTCTGCAGCTTTGGTAGAGGTATTTGCTTGATAAGTTTACATTCCTTGGTTTTGCATTTCGTTTTTTTTTTCCTTATCCAGTGCTGAGGGAGAAGGAAGAGTTACAAGGGCCACTTGATGCAAGACTGATAAAGCTCCATCTTGGCAAACAGGGCAGCTTGTGAAAGAAAACGGAAAGTTATTTAGGGGGCAATGGTGCCGGCCGAGAAGGGTAGAGGTGTTCCTGAGGTGCCTTTTTCAGCACTGGGGGTGGAGGCCTGCAAGGAAAATGGAGAGTTGTTTTACTATCAAGCAACTGACACTCAATTAAAACATTCCCATTGATTAATCATATGCCTTTTAAATGATTAATCAACTACATTAAAATAAATTATTACCAAGGTCAGTTCATATTTTCTGTTATTCATCCCTGGTAAACCCACTATGGCCTATTTTGCCTTCCAGGAAGAGGTTGAGAATGCCTTTTCAAAATGCTGCTGATCCAAACATAAATGCACAATAATTGTGATTTGAGGGATTTCATGTCTTTCCCCCAAGTTTCCAAAGAAGGTCAATCCCTTCAATGAGGTGTAGATGGATCTTGACTGTAGCACTCATGCATGTAAATGGACATGCATGAACACTAGGGCACCGTCTTGCATTGCTGTTTTTGACACTGTAAAGCGCCTGAGGGTACAAATTCTACCAAAAGGCAAGTCTAGTTAACTTTTTTTTTATTGCAAAAATAAAATCTAGTGCATGGGCTGTTATTTCAACTGCTGTAGCTGGTGAGATTTATTATGAACATCTAGATATAATCAAATATTATACAAACAATTATGTTTTCCAGATACAGCTGCCTAAGACAACATTCTTTTAGCTTTTCAATCATGTGATTTGATTGTAGCTGAAGTTGTCTGAACACAAAATGCCAGTGCCCTAGCTTCTCTTCTCCACCACACCACTGCCACCGCTGCCACCAATGCTCGTTCCATCTGAGGACCATCAGACAAGCTTCCCTCAGAAGTGGCCACTGCTTAAACTCCCTCCCACCATGTGCCTCTTAAGAACTGACAAGCAAGTGGATGGCTGCTGTTGCTCTTCCTTATTGCCCTAATCACTACCCACCTGCTCTTTCTCTCAGAAGGCGAGAGACAGTAGACAGTAACAGCCAAGAGGAGTAGTAGCACAAGACTCCAACTGACAGTGGGCCCTGTGCTGGGCCTTGCCAGTTGTTGGCATAGGCCCTGATCACTAACCACCACCATCTCATAACATTGCTGAATATGTTCTGTAACAAGTACAAGATCCATACAAGATTAAACATTCTCAAGTCTTTGAGAAATAAAACAATTATGGCTAGCTTATAAATACTACCACTCACTGTTAGAAAATATGCCATTTTTCTTCTTTTTCATGGCCTATTATAGTTGCAAACCAGAACAGAAATAGATAATACATTTAAAAATAGCCTCAAAACAATATATAAGTGTGCCCAAGAAATTGCATAAAGGAACTGTATATATGTACATCAACTTCTTCTCCTGCCAGGCTTACATGATAATTGCACCTCTCTCTCTCACACTCTTAAAATGGCAGCCAAGATCTTGCACTGTAGCCTCACAAGATCTTGGTTTTTCTTCCTGTAAGCTACTGCCTGGATCACCTGGTGGTTCCTCTGTCACCATTTCCCTTCTCTCATCACCTCTACCATCACAATGGCTCCTCCAACTGGCATGGCTGGCAGTGATGCTTTCCAGCTACTGATGCGGTCTCTGAAAGTTTATGGGGTTGCTAAGCAACCCTTAAAATGGCAGCCAAGATCTTGCACTGTAGCCTCACAAGATCTTGGTTTTTCTTCCTGTTAGCTCCCTTATAAAAGTTTTTAAAATTCCCATCAACTTTTTTTCCCATTTCTGGACTTCAGTGCAAACCTGGGGGCTGTCCCAGATTCTTACAAACATTGATCCAGTCTGTACCTGGTCCCAGTGTGTGGATTTTTCAGTCCACATTCAGTGGGCCAGGTTCAGAATTAGATATATGATTTGTAACATTCAAATATAACATGCAGACATTGTGAAAGAAGAAAAAGGCATTTGGATATCACCTTGGGATGTTGTAACAACTGAAGATGCCATGTGAAAACATGGTGGCAGTGGCCACCAGGAAACGCCAAAGTTATATCCAACTCCTGCTTTCCTCCAGTGTTCACATGCTTCACCCCCTCTTACCATGCCAAAAGGAATGGAGAGGTAAGGGGCAAGCAGGAAGACTGGGTGAATGACAAGAAACTGAGGTGAGGTAGCAACAGTCGAGGGGAGTAGGTGAGGGATGGAAAGCAGAGATAGACTAGGGGAGGCAGGAGATAGCAGGGGGGAAACAAAGTCACTGTGGTAACAGGACTTAGAACAGTATCCACAGTAAGAGAAGCAAGGACAGGTGGGGAAATGAGATTTCTCCTCTTCTGCAAGTCCTTGAGGGTTTCCTTCTTGTAAACTATTACTAGAGACCATGCATGGCCCATAAGCCCTGTACAGGGTTCAGTCAATTTCCAGTTTTTGCTGCCTGGGTGGCACTGCAGAAACAGAGCAAGTTGTCAAGCACCTGGAGAACCACTAGCAATGGATAGCCTTCATCTTGGTAGTTTACAAGTTTTATAAATCTGACATGTTACGCTTGCATATTTCTTCCACTGAACTCCAGCAAATGGTACTGACTGAACCTAGAACCGCTTAGAGTTACCAAGATTGTGGAACTGTGTACCTGCAGACCATTTCCTGGGATACACACAAATTATCCAACATATACACATGTGTGTGTAAACATACCTTATCATGATCACAGGTTAATCTTTCAAGGAGCTCTGGTTGGTATGCGTATGGCTATTCCACTTTATCCTCACAACAGCCCTGAGAGATACTGGCTGACCCAAGATTACCAACTGAGCTTCATGGCTGATGGGGGATCTGAACCCAAGTGTAATGCTTGTAGGACTGCACCACACTGACTTTCATGTGGGAAAAGGGTGGGGTGGGGGGAGTTCACATGCCGACTGAACCTTTCTCCATTTTGCCATTATACTGACCTTTGTGGTATACACTGCTGTTCCATGGGCTGCAGAGAAGGAAGAGGAGAAGCGTAATAGTCAGGTTCAGAGTTATGTTGTGGATCAACTGTATGTGACGGCACTGGGTACTTATATGGCTGCACGTTCTGTGAGGAAACCGTTGTTATTCAAAGATGACTCGTTGCTTTAACATCATGGGTTGCTTTAAAATCATGGGTTGATGGCATCCTTCAAGCACACTGCCAAACCCCTCCCCAACCCCCCCATAATCATTTTCAGGCTTTGTCATTTTCTCACACACCCCTCCACCCTGCTGGCTATGCGCTGATCCCCTTCCAGTTGTCTGATCACATACATCTATTTTTTTTGTAATCCAAAGCTTCTCTCCTTCCACTGCAAGCCCACCCCCACCCCCTTTCCCTGCCCTGGAATAAAATTACTTCTTGACCTCAAATAGGAGAATGAATTAAAACTGTTTCAACTGTGGCATTTCGACGACAGCCTAGAGGGTGACATTAGATATGTGGCCATGTCTGAAACTCACACAGACATCTATATTGCCATATGAGCACAAGATCAGGAGCCAACGCATGCTGTGCCTTTCAAATATGTGCTTTCATGCAGAACCTTTCAGCTGGAATCTCAGAGGAGGAAGAGGTGATTGGAAAGCTGCTGACGGTCAAAGCAGGCACTAGTAGGCTTCAAGTGTTCATGTACTCTAACTCCCCCTTTTTTTAAAAAAGTAGACCATGCTTACCTAGGCCACCAACTTAAACAGGTTTAACAGGCTGGGAACTGTAGTTCTGTGAGGGGGCTGAGACTTGCCAACCACACTCTCACCAAGATATAATTCTCAATAATTGGTGGGGAGAGACATGTCATTTGTAGTGGTGTACAATTGCCATATATGGAGTCTGCTTGTACTGCTTGTATTCACTGTGAGTGAGCTCTGAGCTCTCCCCTCTCCCAGCTCTTTTGATAACTGCATGCCAAAATCATATTCCACTGTCTCCTACCGTTTGAAATGACAGACGCCTCGAAGAATATGGCACACTTTGTGGGTGTTCTATGTGCACAGGCTCTTGACTTTCGCTCGCCGGTGACCCATTCCAACATCTCAATAAACAGAAATGCAAAAATATTAAATTACACCAGTAACTCCTTTCAAAAGTTTAAAGTGACTACAATAAAGTATGTTCCCAGAATTCAGGAAATGGAGGAGTGTTACCCCATGCAGGAGATACATGCAACACTTTTCAGCGGCTGTCTTCTGCAAACACCAACCGGGAAGGGATTTGGGGATTCAGGAACACTCCAGCATTCTTGCACAAGGGTCAGAGGTTAGACGTGGACTATCAAATTGAGCAGCTAGTGCTAAGCTGCTGTTTTAAGGGTATCAGAGTCTCCAGATTCCACGCAGGACTACTACAGGAAAACTGAATATGAACAGCATTTTCCACACTACCTGCAATTCTGCTCAAAAGCCTTGTTTTCTGCAAAGTAATTTTTGGTGAGCTCACAGCGCAATCCTAAACAGAGTAACACCCATCTAAGTCCACTGAAATTAATGAGCTTAGAAGACGATAGTGTTGCCTAGGATAATACTCTTAAAGAGCAAGTGCTGGAGAGTTGGTTTTAGCACAGTGGCTTAAGAGAGTGACAGTGCAATCCTTTGTAAAGTCACCTCCTAAAACCACTGACTCCAGTGGACTTAGAAATATGTTACTCTGCTTAGGATGGCACTGTGAGTTACAGATCAAAGACTCTCTGGTTCAAATCTTGCCACTAGGTGGCCTCTCTCAGCTGCAGCCCTTTCATCTGCAGTATGGGGAAGATCATAATGATAGTCTCATACCTTACAGGATTGCTGTAAGTAAAACAATAACGTAATGTACAGGAGTGCTTGGAACACCTGAGGGTGTTATACAGATACTAAGTATTATTAATATTAAGAGTTGGAGAGGAGGAGGGGGATAGTGCAAGGCACACTCACCTACAGTGATCTACCAGTGGCAGGAGGGAATGGACCCAATTATCTTTTGTTAAGTGACAGAACAGCAAAACTAGCAATATGGGAACAACTACGAAGAAGAACGCTAGCAGCCAATTTTTTGTTGTGTTGTCCATTCCTGGAAGGGAAGAAAAAAGAAAAGAAAAAGGTGAGAAGCAGCTTTGGTTAAAATGCTGCTAAACTTGTACCTGCAAAGCTTTCTCAAGTTCCTGCAACAAAGAGGAACAGAAATGGAGCTGCCATAGCACACAACGCTGGCAGGCAGCCCCTGCACGACAGCACTGCAGCAGCCCTGAGGATACAGGCGGCATCCGTATAAGCGTAACTGGCAAGCATGGACCAGCTCAGTGTCCACTGAAATGATCCTGTAAGTCCCTACAGTGAGGTAACAGCAAGCAGAATTGGGCACACTGCTTCTATCAGTGGCATAATTCTTTCCTGTGGGCCAGTGCTTGGACCCAACCCAAGGCCTTTTCGTGCACAATGAATGCACAAAGCTCTTTTATTTAGGGCAATTTAGCACAGTACTACTGCCTACTCCAAATGACATCCAGGGTCTCAAGCAGACATGGTCATTTCCTAGCTTCTGCTATCAGGGGTTCTTTTTATCTCCGGATGCCTGAAGTCCTTCCACATCCAGAGGACATGTCGCTATCTGAGCTATTCCCTGAGCCATGGTCCCTCCCTACACAATGGCCATGGCAATGCTTTGCAGTGGAGGGAATGGGGTCCTCTTTGACTCTTTGATCAGCATCAGAAGCTGGAATAAAGTTGCATTCATGATAGCTGAAGTAAGAGGAGACAGAGGGGGGTTGGGGAGAGGGGAATGGAACACAATCAGGCAGGCAGAGGAGTGTCCATCAGCTTCAGTGGCACAAGTTACTTTGCTGCACCCTAAGCTGGTTGCTGGTATAGTTGAGAGACTGAACTCTGCTCCAGGAAGTTGCTGGTTCAGATCTCTCCTCGGTAATGAATTGATTGCATGGCCTCAGGAAAGCTGCACTCTTTCAAAATGGATATAATAATAGTGGCCCACCTAAAAGGTACAAGAAGATAGTATATATGAGCCACTTTGAAAGCTGAAAGCACTACATAAATACTAATCATTATTAAGCCACAGCATAGCATCAAGGTCTCAAACTCTGGTCGTCTCATGGAAGAAAGGACAGGGTCACACAGGAACCTGTGAACCATACCAGACATGTACAGAAGCTTTTAGCTGCCTATAGCAGCCATCATTTCTGAGAGCTGCTCTGGACATCACCGGAGAGTCTTGTTCAGCCATTGCTTGCCTACTTTTTCTGCCTCATTCATCTGGATATCAGAGATTAACCAGAACTCAGGCTCTGCAATGGAGGTACAGACAAGCAGCAGTGCCTCTGTAAAAGCTAGAAGGCGCTCTGTGGTTATCTGCACTAGCCGTGGCTTTTGTGTTACATCCTTTCCAAACAAGCTTTACCATCTTGGACACATAAATACACACAGGGCTATCCTGTCATATCCCCATTTATGTTTCCAGGAAGCATGATGTTAAATCACTTCAGCCAAAAGGGTGAGCAATTAGTTCAATAAGGAAAAAGACTGATGTAGCTATGGAGTCAGGAATCTTCAACTCTCTCCTCTGCCGTGAGCGCATTCAAATGGCCTTGGGTAAGTAAGTAATTCCCTCTTTGCCTCATCCCCCACCCATCTGTTGCATGAGGACAATAATACCAGCTTATTTTACAGGGAGCACTGGCATAGTGGAGTAGTTAATAGCCTAAACTGTAACCTGAGAGATGCCTGGTTGAAATCTTGGCTCGGCTATGAAAACAATTTGTGGCCTTAGGCAAACTACTTCCTTTCACAGAACCCTGCTCTGGGCAGATGATGATGTAACAGGTTTATCATGAGGGTTACTAAGAGAATGCATTTCAAATACTTTGGAAATTCTAGAACACTAATAATGCTAAGATGGTCAAGCAGATGCTGAGTTCCATATCTAGTGGGTCAGTCCTAAACAGCAAGATTTCTTTGGATTTGATAGCTCCTACATGCAGCCAGTGATTGCTATAGGCAGCCAAAGTCCTCCATACATGTGGGAGCAAATCCCAGGATGAAAGCAGCCTGGAAGGTATGCACAAATCCCAAATGGAGCTTGCTGAATGATGAAGAATTGCTCTACACATGCTGTACAACTAATCTTCTCACTGCAGGAACTCACCTGTAGATGACTTGTTTCAAAGTTTATCCTGTTCACTGAAGAAGTGTGTGTGCGCACAAAAGTTTATACCTTAAATAAAACTTTGTTGGCATAAAAGGTGCCACTGGACTCAAACTTAAAACAAGTAATTTTCAGAAGAAACCCGCTCCTGCCATTACCTGGGGACTGATATACTAACTCAGTTACTATTGGTTAGCAGGGAGTGGTAGAGCAGCCTCAGTAGCATTAATCTACTTCTGAAGATCTGGAAAATCGAATGTTAAAAAAACCTTTTTGTTGTACACTGATGGATTCTAAGAATGTCTATAGGCTGCATGAGAGTCACTTGAGAGTCTCACAAACAAGATCCTAACTAAAGATTTGGAGGGGAGGGGGTCTAAAGATGCACTTCAAAGAGGAGGACATCACAGTTCAACACTAAACAGCAAACGTTTGAATACAGGTAGACTAATATGCTTAACTGAATGTTATTTGATGTATTAAAAATTTTTTACTAGAAAAAGATATTTTATAAATCTTTTATAAACTATATTTATAAATTTATTATAAATGTATAAAGATATTAAAAGTCTTTTTAAAAATGAAGTGCCTAAATGCTTGCTAGTTGTCTCCATACCTTTACACTCATTGGCTAGAACCCCGGAAGGCAGGAGCAAGGTAACATTTGAATGAGCACAATTTGCTTAGATTACAGCCTGTACATTTCCATTTTTACTTTGAAAGTGAAAAGGCCAAAGTAATCTTTTTATCCCCTCATAATGAAAGCTAAACATTTATGGAAGGGGCTTCTAATACACAAGGGGAGGGGCGCAGTCCCATTATATGCAGATCTAAGTTAAAAAGAAGAATGCAAAGGCTACTCACATCTTATGACTGGGAATCTTATCATTTCCAGAGGAAAAAGAGACAAGGTCAGGGAAAGCTTAAGGTATCATCATTCATAATATATTTGCATTTCAGCATTATTATTATTAAGGAAATTATTATGCTACCTCTGCCAGGAAGCTGCCCAAGGCAGACTACAAAATAACATTAAAACATAACATTAGACGTTATGAATTAAAACCCAGCATTAAAAAAGCAGCAAGAGAGTAAAAACAAATCACTGAGCAGCTGAAAATGACTAATGATTTCCAGACCGAAAGCACACTATAGAATGATTTTAAAAGATCAACCCCTTCATTAAAAGCCCACGCAAACAGAAGTGTTTTGGCCTGGTGCCCAGAAGACAACGTTGTAGGTGCCAGGCAAGCATCAATGGGGAAGGCATTCCAGAAGTGAGGGGCTGTCTCTAATCACGAACCGCCTCACCTCTGAAAGCGAGGGCATGGACAGCAGGGCTTGTGAGGCAGATCTTAGCTGGTGGGATGGACAATAGTTTAGGCAGAATTCAAAGAAGAGATGGGGACAAGCAAGGAAATCAGCTCTCCACAATCTCCATACCCTCACTACAGCTGCAGCTCTTCCATGGACCATGTCACTTGACCTTACTGTTACTAATTCCTCAAACTCCCTATCCCTGTTATCACATTTTTGTCTGACCATCCTCCCAGGAGCTCAGGTATGCTTAGGTGACTCTCCCCTCCTTTGTTTTATGTGTCTTAGCATTTCAATAACCTTCCCAAAATGATGCTATTCCAATAGTTTCCCCCTCCTTCCCTCACGTGTATTATGCACCTGCAAAATCTGTTTAAAAACAAAACAAAACCAGCAAGGTAACCCATTGATCTAATGTCTTCTCCAGGAGAGACTTAGATTGCATAGCATGACTTGAAAAACATACTAAATAGTCACCAACCTTGGCCATAAGCCGGGTACTTATTATCTGTCTGCTGTTGATTCGGGTACAAATTATCTGTCTGCTGTTGATTCGGGTACAAATTATCTGTCTGCTGCTGAGTCTGGTACCATCTTCGATAACGTACAGCCTTTGGGACAGGGGTTGCCTTAATGTCTGCATTTAGTGCAACATGCAGTGCGGAGTCTGTTCTCAAATAATAAATATATTAGGCAGCAATGTTGCAGTATCACCAGAGGCTGGAACCACAACCCTAAGCCCTCCTTCACCAGCCACACCTCTGTGACACAGCAGGTGCATACAACTTGCAAGAAGTTGCTTGTTGTTCAGACAATGTTTATCTTTGGGCTTCTTTTTAAAAAAAGATCCAAAGAGCAATTGCCTTCACTTAAAGAACCGCAGCCGAGGAGGAAGCAGCATATAAAAATCAAGGTGTGCAGAAAAGACATCAAGAAATACGGGGAAGCTTTGTGGAAACACATGAAACGTGAAAAGCAGACTTTTTAGCACCTGTTCTTTATATTTCTTTCTCTTCATCTTTCTTCTTGTTTTCCCTTCCTGTCCCTCTTTTCTTTTTTTCTTTCTCATTTGGGCATTTCTGCTTATTTGAAACCTCTCTGTGTATGTAGGGTGGTAAGAGCAGTGTAAAAGGTTTGTAAAAAAACCACCACTAACAGGTTACTTTTAAATCAAAGGTAACTTTAGAAAGTATTTAAATTTCAACAACTGTGTTTAAGGAAAAGGAACAGGGCAGGTTGGGGACATAGGTGAAAGAAACCTGAAGAATAGTGGTTTAAAAGTAATTTTATTGGTTGGTTAGTGTGCACTAAACTTTATAAAATATAAAATAACTATAACATTAATAGAATAACTTTTCAAAATTCTAAAGTTCATAATCCATCAGTCAAAAAAAGTGCTATCTTCTATTGGCTTACGTTCTACATTGAATCTTTCAGCAATGATGCAATACACTTTCCTCTGGACAGGCATACTGAATAGGCTTGCAAGCAGCTACTTGCCCAGTCACTAGTGGCAAACAGAGAATGGTACTAGGTGACCAGAAACGAACACCCCCCCTTTTCAAGTCTTTGTTGCCCCACATTACTGCCTAAAAGGTAAAGGTTTCCCTTGCTCAAAAGCCAGTCGAATCCAACTCTAGGGGGCGGTGCTCATTTCCGTTTCCAAGCCAAAGAGCCAGGGCTGTCCGAAGACTTCTCCATGGTTATGTGGTCGGCATGACTAAATGCTAATGCACACGGAACACTGTTACCTTCCCGCTGAAGTGGTACCTATTTATCTACTTGCAATTTCTTGCTTTCAAACTGCTAGGTTGGCAGGAGCTGGGGCCAGAGACAGGAGCTCACTCTGTCACACAGCACTAGGGTCTCGAACTGCTGAACTAAAGACCTTCCAATCTGCTGCTTAGTGTCTTAACCTCTAAGCCACCGCAACCCCTCATGTGATTGCCTAGGCATGTGTAAACAGGCAAACTAGTAAAAATGTCTGTGGATTAGTGTCTTTTTAGTGGTATCTGGACTTATTTGCCAGATTGATTTAAAAATGACTTAGTAGTTATGTATATTTATATGCTTTCTAGTTCTTTAAAAAAAAACCTGCTGTAAACCAGTCTATCAAGACCAAGGTGGGATGTGCATTTTGAATAAGCACACACATTTGGAAATAAGCTTATTTCAACCAGGATACAGTTGCTCTTGCAGAAATTGGCCCAAGAGAACAAGCTCAAGAATTAGCAAGATTCACCTTCTACCCCAAAGTCCAGTGGCCAGAAGTTTCCAAAGGCAAATAAATCAAAACCCACGCTCCTCTCCCTCCTGGAAAGTGAAACCTAACAGAGTCAGCCACCACCATGTTAGCCGGTTTGGACTTAGCTACATGGGAACAGCTAAGTCCTGAACCCGCAGTTCCTCCACTCGCCACCAACTGCAAGAGGATGGGACACATGACAGAGTTTTCCTTAGAATACTTGCCATTATATGTAGGTCCGCTGTCCAGACTGCCCCCGTAGCCTTTGGATTCACAGTAGGGGGGGGCCCAACCTGGATGACAGTGGCAGTTCTTATTGCTGTTGCACACCTGTTTGTTTAAAAAAGAATATTATTAACCTAATTTTGTAAAGGACCAGGGACCTCAAATCAAGAACTATAGCAGTGGGACCTAGCAAACTTAACTCTCCGCCCTACCACGGTATCTTGTGAGAGGAAGGAACTGCTAGCCTACTCTCCACTGCTATTTCATGCCAACACTGCAGAGGGTGATATTGCAGCTGTCAGAAGGAGTCAGGTGACACATGAAGCCAATCCAGTTTCACTTGGTCCTGCAACGATTCTACCTCTCAACTAGCTTCTCCATCTCTTCAACATGCTGCAAACTTCCCATCTCTGCTTGCCTGTGATCTCCAGACTCTCAATTATCATATTCCAGAACATTCTTTCATTGTCACTCCAGTTGCTGTGATTGCAGTAAGCTGGAAGGAAATCAAATTCTCCAAGTGCCACAAAGAATGTGTGTGGACAGATGTAGCTGACAGAAGTTTCTAGTAACATATTTTTCTATGGAAACAGTGAGAAGACTATCCCAATCCTTCACTTCTGGCAGAATCCCTGTGTCTTTAGCAAAAAGTGGAAAATGTGACACTTTTCTCAGCATGGAGGTACAGTTATGAGAAAGCCTTACCTACTGAGTTTCTGTTGGACAGGGAGCCAACAAAGGAAAATTATCCCTGCTCTGAATTTGTTTCATGGCTCAACAATCTTCTTTCTCCCTCCACTGCTTTGTGACAATAATATAACCTTATTCTTCTCTATCTTTTCCTCGAGTCTCTGCCCACTTCACCTACTCTTCCCTGTAATTCACTCCACTAGTAGCTCTGGACTCCCTGACTACCTCCTGGGAATACTTAGGGCCTAAACACGTTACATAGTCCTTGCAGCATGTCCAGATCTATCAGAAAGAGAGGACTTTCAATCAGGCGTGGTCTGTGAGCTCCCCACTGGTAACTCAGTCCCCAGACACACGAGACCCCACTTTGGATCGGGATCATGGCATGTGAGGAGGGGTTATTTAAGTCTTTCTCCATGCACACCATTTTTGTGAGCTGAAATAGCCCCAAGGGCACCACTTGCTCTGTTGAGGACTCTACTCATACTGATGGGATATACATAGGCTGCGGTCACACACACTAAATAATCCACTTTCAGTCCACCCTCCTGGGAATACTTAGGGCCTAAACACATGTTACATCATCCTTGCAGCCTGTCCAGACCTACCAGAAAGAGTGGACTTTCAATCAGGCATGGTCTGTGAGCTCCCCACTGGGAACTCAGTCCCCAGACGCACGAGACCCCACTTTGGATCGGGAACATGGCATGTGAGGAGGGGTTATTTAAGTCTTTCTCCATGCACACCATTTTTGTGAGCTGAAATAGCCCCAAGGGCACCACTTGCTCTGTTGAGGACTCTACTCATACTGATGGGATATACATAGGCTGCGGTCACACACACTAAATAATCCACTTTCAGTGCACTTTCCAACTGGATTTTGCCAGTTCACACAGTAAAAATCCAGTTGGAAAGTGCACTGAAAGTGGATTGAAAGTGGATTATTTATTTGGTGCGTGTGACTGCAGCCATGTTTCTCCAGTATGAGAAACACCACTCCTCCAGAGTTATTTCAGTCAAGAACATGACACAGAGGGAGAGGCTTAGGCATTCTCCACTTGTGTGCTGAGATCCTCCTCTGTGTTGGTCTCCTGTGAATTCCTAGTGTAGAACTCACAACATACATCTGAGTTAAATTCTTTAAGGCGAACCTGAACACACTGAAAGGATTGTGTAACATGTGGTTTGGCTTTTAGCCTCCTTGCTTTGCCCACGTAATTACTCCTCTTCAAATAGCCAGTTTGAAGCTCTAGTCCCAGTGAAACTGAGCTGTCACTTTCCCTGAAGAAGTCCATTTGTGAACATTCTATGCTACCTGTCTCATTCTCCTGGCATTTAGAATGTCTGAATATTCCAAAACACCTCAGCCAAAACATAAAGTCAGGAGCTGGGAAATGAAGGGTGATTCTTCTGGCCTGTACGTCAGCTACTATAAACTGCCAGACAAAACAAACCTCAGTGTTACAATCCCAGGTGAAAGTATGAACTAGTATGTGGTTTTTATTTTACTTACCCCCTGTCCATTGCATTTATTATGTATGTCACAGTCATAACCAAGAACAGCTACATCTACACACTGGTAGTGCTTACATATCTGGAAAAATAAACACACAAAACCTGAAATTCATGATGACATGGGGCTGCAAGCTTTAAAATCACCTCACCATTTAATAAAACTTTAGTTCCTAAAAGCTTTCCTCAGAGATTAAACGTTGCCCCACAGTGAACTGGTCGGCTTGAAAATCAAAACTCAGGGGCTACTGAATAGCCCACACAATGCTGCAGAGTGCAACAGGGATTATATGTAGAGAAATCTCCTAGTTTACCTTTCCAGCAGCACATTTTGTGCCTTCATTCACCATCCCCGGATCTGGTACATCTGACCCCAGCTGGAAGTCCACTCCCCAACAGACGCTGCCTTTGATGGGAGACTGAATAATAGCAGGCTCAATCCCAAAGACTGGGAGAGTTTTCACATTCTCACACTGCAGCTTCCCACACATGGCGTTCCTGTGGCATGATATTTTAAATTACTGTTATGATTTCTGGCATGATCTAGGGATTTATAGAAAGTCACACTCCCCGACAGCAATCCTGGAATCGGGTATCAAAAGAGCAGAACAGGTGTTGTTATAATTGCATAATGAGGACATGGATTTATCTATGCCACTGGCAAGAATACTTTAATCCTCCAAGAAAATGAGATAGAGGCACATGAGCCTTATCCACAAAATGAGAATTTACCTTGCAATTTATTTAACTGCAACAAGTGCAAAGATACTAAAAGGCACACCTGTTGTCAGAGGCAGTGTGTTTATTTTAACATGTGTAGGTGCCACCTCTTTCCCACAAATGTCCAAGTGAGGTCACAAGGGTATAACCCACTTAAAACAACACATATAGCAATATAATCAAATGCAGAAACCAACTGGACCACCTAAAACTAAAGCAGTAGCAAACAGTAGTAGCACTAAAACAATAGTAAGTAAAAACAAACAGCAATTGCTTTTTAAAAAAAAGCATAATGTGCACCAAAAACAAAATAAATTATCATTCCTCCCCCTCCCATAGTACAAACTGAATACCATTTTGCTGGGGGGGGGGGACAACAATAAGGGATTCTTTGGCCTCTGTTCTCTACTTGTGGGCTTCCAGAGCACCTGGATGGCCAGCTGTGTTTCATCTGATCCAGGAGAGTTCTTCATATTCTCTAAATGCTGTACTGGCTAATCATTATTGACTAACGGTGCCTCTCTTACCTGCTTGTTTCTGCAGCAACCTGCCCATCTGATATCATTCTGCAGACCAGGGTTCCCTCTAAGCTGAGTTAGTGTGAGCTAGCTCACAGTTTTTTAGCCTCCGGCTCACACATTTTTGTCTCAGCTCAGGAAGGATGGCTCCAGAGCAAACTAATTTATGCAGTAGCCAAATCACTCGCTCACAACTTTAATGCCAGTAGCTCACAAAGTAGAATTTTTGCTCACAAGACTCCACAGCTTAGAGGGAACATTGCGGACTGGGACACCCACATTTTGTTTATATGTGGCCCATTCCTGACTCATATGAGGTGTAGGATGGAGGATCTGGTTTTTGCATCCAAACTGCATGAGAATGAAAAAAAAGTTTCCCTGCCTTATTTTAGCGTAGTCTGGTCTCAAAGCTTGGCCAGGAGAAAAAGTGCCTGGTGGAATGGACTGCAGGGAATGTAGGCGGGGAAAGATTCACCTCCCCTCCTCTGCATGCATGTTTTTAGCAAAAATAACAGCCCCACCTACCCACTTGCTGGTCTATATATGACTGGGGAACAGCTGTGATTAAACAAATGCCAAGTTTTCTCTGCACTCTGGTGGATCTTACAGTACGCGCCCCCAACCTCCTGGTTTGACCCTTGGTCATCTAGCTTTTATGCACCTTTCAGCTGAATACACCACCACCACCACCCCACACACAGCAGCTGTAGAACATTCACTTGTATGTAAAGACCTTTCAGCTGAATACACCACCACCACCACTACCACCCCACACACAGCAGCTGTAGAAAATTCACTTGTATGTAAAGCCACATCAACCTACCAGCTTGAGCACTTCTTGTAGTCATGGCCATGATAACCACAGTTTCCAAACCTGTCACCTTTGGAATTCACTTCAGAAAAGCAAACCTCAGGGGCAGCCTTTGCCTCTGCAAAACAGATTTGGAAAACCAGGTTAGTAATTAGTGCATCGCTCACATGTGTAGCACATGAGTTTGCTCCTGTAGCACAGTGATCCACAACATGGTGCCCACGGGTGCCAGGGTGCCCACCAGCTTCTTCCTCAAGGAACCAATCCTGGCTTTCCTCTCCCTCATTACAGCAACAGGTGCTTCAGATGATCGAGGATAACTTTGGGTCTGCAGGGAGCACTCACTCAGAAATAGCTGCCCTCAGCATAGCAAGACACTTGGCTTTGAATCTCTCAACATTCTGTGAATGCCACCCATGGCAGCCATTTTGTGACTGGTCCTGCATCTCGAAGGAGCCATTTTGTGATGATGCTGATAATCTTTCTCAGAATTCTGAAAGTACTCACAGACTTAGCATGGTTGGGGATCCATGCTTTATAGTAATGTAGTAAGAACAGCAACACAATGTAACTGAGCAAGTAGGGACAGCTTAGGCCACAGTTGTCTGAACAAACAATGCTGGAGAAACAAATGGCTGCACCAGTAGGCGGGGGGAAAGAAAAAAGCAGGTGCAAGGTGAAAGTACGTATTACAGCTTTATAGATCCCTATCTGTTTTGCAGTAAAGCTTCTTCAGGGGATCTTCTACAGGGTTTTTCAAATTCCACCTTGAGCAATGAAGTCATTGCTCTTCAGGGGATCTTCAGGGGATCTTCTACAGGGTTTTTCAAATTCCACCTTGAGCAATGACTTCATTGCTCAAGGTGGAATTTGAAAAACCCTGTAGAAGATCCCCTGAAGATAGCATGAAGAGCAATGACTTCATTGCTCAAGGTGGAATTTGAAAAACCCTGTAGAAGATCCCCTGAAGAAGCTTTACTGCGAAACAGGTAGGGATCTATGAAGCTCTAATAAGTACTTTCGCCTTGCACCTGCTTTTTTTTCTTTTTTCCCTGTCTGAACAAGCCATCTCTTTCCCATACATACATACACACCGCAAGTTTCAGACTCAAGGGCTCCAGTTCAGAAAACAGCAATAAAACCCTATTGCTTTACACACACAACATGTACATGAGTTTCCCCAGCTTCTCCAGCTCTCTCAATCCAGGCAAGATGCTACATCCAAGCCACAGGTGGCCTTCCCATGAGGTATGGAAAGGCATCTTCTTTAGGTGCTGGATTTTAGATGTATTAAGGACAGCAGTATGGGAGACAGAATAAGCCCAAAGGGCTAGCAGGACATTCCCCCATGCAAAAAAACCTTACTGAGGCCCCGGTCACACGAGAGGTTTTGGGCCGGGAGAGGGACGGATCGGGGGCGGAGCAAACGGGCACGAGCACACCGCAACATCTGGGAATCGGCATGCACCCGTCCCCAATCTGGCTCTTCAGGCCGAAAATGTGCATGGAAAAATAACCACCCCCAGAGGAGGACTTACTGGATAAGCCGCAGCAAGCGCTGCCATCAGATCACCGGCACGCTCGTCTTCTGGAGCAACCCAGGCTCCCGGCCGAACTGTGCTTGCTCACACATGTGCAGTTCGGCAGCCTCTCTCCCCCTTCAGTAGCTTCCCCCCGGCATCTGGTCGTGCCAGGGAGGAACTGTGCCGCGGCTCAGGGGATCTATGTGATCCCGCCGCCGCGTGTTTCGGTGCGGCTTTAAACAGCCGCACTTTGCCCGTTCTTTTTCCCCACGTGTGGCAGGGGCCTGAAACAAGTAGAACACAAGCAGTGCTGGAACGGAAATGTGTCCTGCGTTAATTAGTAAAAGGATTAGTGTGATGTTGAGATTTTCTGCCTAAGGCACCAAAACGAGTCAAATCTACTGGCAATAATTGCAGGAAAGTAGAATGTTTTGGATTGTTAATCTCCTAGGATTCTACACAAGCAACATATACAGTGAAGACTGCAAATTTAGCACTAAAATTGGTGTCCTTGAGAACCCTAGGAATTATAACTGTGTCAAGGAGTTGAGGGATCTCTAATGGAGTTTTCTCTCCACATTCACCAAACTACAATTCCCAGGATTCTTTAAGGGAAGCTGACAAACTTGCAAAGTTTTAATGTTTGTATAAAATCCAGAAAAAGATACTAATCCCTTGATAACATTTGCCAGCCTTTCCTTGTAGAGAAACAATCTGAAGTCAAAACAGGTGTTTTCATCAAATTAGAATAAAATGACAGAGAACCATCCTTCTTACTTGAGCCAAAGATGGCCTTGCACTGTGCATCATAATACTGGCACATCCCATTGTAGCAATAAGCTTCATCGTTGTGGCATGGGTGCCCATTCTGAACGGTGACATCTTGTGGACAGAACGGTGACGTCCCATTGCAGTACTCAGGAAGGTCACACTCACTGGCACTCTCTCGGCACTCAGTGCCTTGGGAAAGGTACTAGCAGGGACCAAAAACACAGGGGCCATCATCAGTTGCCACTCAGAAATAAACCCAAAGAGATCCGGCAATACAGGCTCGATTGTCCAATAAGAGACTGGCTTGCCAAAGGCAGTGACAGGAGAGATTTGAATCAGGGATTTACTGATACATAGCTCAGTCTCTGGAGGCGAAGAATGCATTTTTCATTTATTCAAGCTTTTAGATGGATTGATGCTCTACTGTATTATAAAAAATGGATAATATAGCAGTTACTGTTGTGTGGGAAACCTTTCAGCTTGTCCTTTCTGGGGATGTCCACAGAATTCTTGGAGGTTTGAGACCTACCACCTACTTCAGGCTGCTTAAATCTGCTGGAGGGTTCACAATTTGCTTCCAAGCCCAGTTCATGGTGGTGGTACTGACCTTTCATAATTTAAGGACTGACCACTCCCATATGAACGTACCCATCCAGTCATCTTCAGAGATCTTGCTTTGGGTGTTCCTGCGATCTGAGGCTGGACAGGTGGCAATCTGAGAAAGGGCCTTCTTGGACACACAGTCCAAACTTTGGAACTCCATCCCCCAGATCTGTCCATCTTTCTCTATTCTCTTGCACCAGTGGGTGAAAACTTTTGTTTTGTTTGGCATACTCCTCAATAACTGTTATTGGCCCTCCTCCCTGGTTTTGATGTTACATGTGTTTATATGTTGTTACTGAATTATTTTATTTAAAATGTTGCCTTAATTTGAATCTTTGCCACCTTGGGGACCCTATTTGTGTGGGAAAGACAGTATAGAAATGTTTTAAATAAATAAATAGTTACTGTGTTTCCAAAAAAGCCAGTTAAAACACTGATAATATAAATAATGGTTGACATCTTATTTGGGATAATTTTGCGTGCTTTTTAAAGATGTGTGCGGTTCTCTTGGATATACTTTATGAATGGTTTAAATAGAAAACAACAACAACAGCAATAATAAAAAACAAACCTGTTGCAGCAGCTGCCCCACTTCCAAAGCAAGCAATGCTAATGTACCTAAATTTTAAACTGTACTGTAGAATACCCTTCTCAAGTGTGATGAACAAGATATAAAACATATAATAATAAGTCTGAAGGACAGTTCATACAGTCCACAGAATCTGGTAGTAAAACTTTTCCTGGACTTTAACACTTGAGGCTGGGGAAGGGTCATGGGTCAGAGCACCGGCTTTGCACTCGGTCCCAGGTTCAGTCACGGGCATCTTCAGTTAAAAGACAGAGCCACTGTCACCCAACGGAGAAAATACTGAGTTAGGTAAACCAACAGTCTGACAAAGGCTAACACATTTTGCTTTGGCATATTGACTATTTTTTTCTCCACAGCAAACCTAAGAGCAACTTTAGGGAAGTGATTTTAATCAAGGAAGATACTGTGAAGGTTTTAAAAAATGAGGAAAAACCAATCACAGGTCAGCCATGTTTCACTTGTTTTAATTTTTAATTTAGATATTTATACCCTGCTTTTCGCCCCAAAGGGGACCCAAAGCAGCTTACAACATTGTTCTCCCCCTCCGCCCTTCATATTCCCTTCCTGTGTGGAAGGTTAGAGAGAATGTCTGGCCCAAAGTCATGCAATGAGCTTCTGTGTCAGAATGGGGATTGGAATCTGAGTTTCCCAGATCCTAGTCTGACACTCTGACCTCTACACCAGGGTGGAACAATTATTATAAAGTTCTATTTATTTCAACAGGACAACAAGTACGCTTTAAGATTATGACCTGTCACATTTTTATCCCACCCTTTCTACCCCCTCAACAACCCTGTGAGGTAAATCAGGTGGAATGAAAGAGAAAGGTCACCCAGGCTTCCCTGGTCTTAGTCCACTACATCATTAATGCAGACTGAGCCATCTTTACCACTCCTTAAAGCCTTAAGTCTTTTTCTTATAATACTTTAGGATAGGAAGGTCTTACATGACAGTTCAGACAGCAGTCTCCATAAGCACAATCAGCTCCTGAGCGCAGTTTGCAAGTTCCTGCTTCACAGCAAGGATCGGATTTGCATTCCTTTAAAAGTTAGGGAAGGGGGGAAAAAGAGATTAAAAAGGAGTTCTTTCTCAGCAATTTTCAATGCTGTCTGCAACTGCAATCTCTTCATTGAATATATTAACTCAAAACTCATCACAGACCAGTGCTAAAGCAGACACAACACTTAGCCATGGCTAAGGGTTTTGTCTAAACACCTACAGAGCCATCCTAAGCAGAGCCATGCCCTTTTAAGTTTACCAAAGTCAATGAGCTTAGAAGGGTGTTAACTCTGTATGGAATTGCACTGCTGATCTGTTGTTAAAAATGGCCACAAACCAGGACATGAAACCATGGTTTGAAGTGGATCTGGAAACCATGGTTTGTGTCAACCATGGTGATATGGTTGACACAATGTTTGGCTAAGGCAGTTTCCCTGCTTCTTCAACTTTGTTCCTCTGCCAGGTGACAAGTAGCTCTCACCGATGTCTCCCTACATCAGCTCACTGCAACCTTGGGAAGAACAAGTACAGTTTTTCTGTATGTTTGGGATCTCAAATAAGGTTAACAGGGTTAAGCATTATCTGTGTGCAGAGCCACTGTTTCAGCAATTTCCCCCCGTCTCTTGAAAAAGGACCACTGATTTTTAAACTTTTTTTCCTGTGAACATAAGAACATGATAAAATTCTTACTGGGTTAAACAAAGTGCCTGTTTAGTCCAACAGCTGCCATTCAGATGTTTTTGGGAAGCTTACAAATAGGGTATGAAGGCCTCTTGTTTATCTCTTCCCAGCATCTGATCTTTAGAGGCATACTGGCCTTGTGTGTGGGGGGGAAAGGTCTCATTAAAGAAAACAGCTTTATATATGTCTAGCAGGGTGTGGATCAAAGGAGAAACAGAATCACATACAAAATAGCACTTAAAAGGCTTCTATTATGAAACTTCAAGAAATGGGTCAGACATTTTAGGCACGATCTACCAAAAAGTTCTAGAAAATAACGGGACCTATGCAAGGGCATGATGATGCTCCTCTGCAGCTCCCATTCATTTCAATGAAAAGGTCACAGAACATCCTGGCAAACTGAGCCCTCTGAGGGCCATTTCTCTTTGCTTGAAATGCCAGGTTTAGACCAAAAACTAGAATCCCATCAAAAGTTCACTTCAGCACCAATAAGAGTTGCCCCTTTGCAACCCCAGGTCCCAACCTCTTGTGATCCACAATCGCAGTCCTCTCCAGCATCCACTAACTTGTTGCCACAGTATGGCGGACTATAGGTTTCTTCTGGCCTAGGAAAATTAAGAAGGCAACTTCCACCTTTGTTCAGAGTTAGCTTTTCAAAGTCATCTGCGCTGCAGCTGCTGAAGTTCATGGCCCCTCTACAACACAGAACATAAGAACAGTCCTTAACCTGGGCACAGTCAACCTCTAAAGCACACTGTAAGGTTACATCAGCTTTATCGCCACCGCTTCTTCTGCCCCAGTGAACCTGGCAATAGAGTGTGCTGAGAATTCTATAAAAGATCCTCTAGGAGCCCACCACACAACTGCAATGCCCAAGAGAGAGAGAATGACTATCAAACCTGTTGAAGTTTGTAGCACAGATGTGCCCATAAAATATGACAGCATTTCAGAAAACAGGTCCAGAGAAACACACACACCCTGATCAAAGCACAGCTAAACAGAGGGTGAAGTGGCATGATGATAATGGACTTTGTGCAATTCTTTGTGAGGTTACTTTTGTATAAGAGTTGGCATCAAAACTGGCAAGATTTGAGCCTTCACAACCATGTTTCAAAAACACCCAAGCAGCATCTACAAAAGGCTGCCACATCTAGGGTTTGGAATTCCTGGTTCTTGCACGACTACCACTCTCTCCCCAATGGGCTGCAGTTACATTCTTTTACCCAAAAGCCATCCAGGAACACAAACATTACTTACGATGCTCCAGAGCTCATAATGCAGTTCTTCACTTCACAGGTACAGGTTCTTTCATCATCATGGTTCATTCCCAGGTTATGGCCAAGTTCATGAGCAACAATGGAAGCAAACATCTGCACACTCATCTGTCCAAACTGAAAGGTAAAGTGAAAACAAATAAGCAAGCAAAAGAGTGTAACAGTAATCTAACTAAGGGCCAAACTACATGTCATGTTTTTTGACAAGTTGGGTCCAGGCTGCCCCCTTCTCTGCCATTTTGACTTGAGAAAATGGGGGGGGGGAGCAGGAGCCCCACCTGCTCCTGTACCAGCATCCCAAGCCCAATTAGGATTCTGGGAACTTTAAAAATGTCTTTTCCCAAAGCTGCCATGTGACTGCAGGGAAGGCAAGGTGAGGCCTGGGAACTCAGATCCACCTCATCAAAAATGTAACATAAAGTTTGACCCTAATGATGGATTTTTCAGGGTAAGGTCAAGAGCTTCTCATTCAATGAAACAAAGTGTCTTGTGGAGCCTTAATGACCAGAACTACTAAATGCCATTGTGCCCTAAGCTTTCTTGAGCCAGAGCACCACTTCAGATAGGTACAAAATGAATGAGCAAGGTAGGGGGTAAGAGATGCTATTGCAAAGGGAGGCCAGAAGGCATAGGGCGTGCTGTGAAAAACTGCACAGCACAGATGAAAAAACAGACAGTGAAAAGTGTAAACAGCCCCATCAGAATGAGAATGGAGCAGCTCCAAACTGCTAAGGAACTTGCCAGGTAAGATGAAACAGTATACATAAGCCCATATGAAAGGACAATTACTTTTCTACAGAGCTAACTATTCCCTGTCCCTACTGAGACCAAGCTCGAAAGAATCCTATGAGTATATGAATTCCAACTCAACACTTCTATGCTGGATTTTTCCTTTGAAACACTTATGCTGAAATAAGAAAATCTTAAGCTTGTTAATGAACATTTAGGGAGACTGAAATGCTCCTCTACTGGTTTCCAAGCATTTCTGTTTTTAATGTCTGGTTTTTACCCATTTATTCTCTTGCGGAGAGACGGATGATTTTGGCAACATAAATAGCAGAAGTATACTGCTGGCACATCTTAGGGTCAAACAATGTAATGATTTGTACTGTGAAGTTATCTGAGGTGTGAGGGAACTCATCTTCCAAGCACTCAAGGCCCGAATTCAAATTGAGAACATAGCGCAGATGGAGAAGAGGCTTCATTCTCCCAGTGCCATTTTCCCAATTCAAAATGGCTCCCGGGACCCTATTTGCCCCAGTGGGGGTGGTGGCCAATGCTCCCCCTAAGCTGTGGAGTCTTGTGAGCAAAAATTCTAAATTGTGAGCTACTGGCATTAAAGTTGTGAGTGAGCTACTGCATAAATTAGTTTGCTCTGGAGCCATCCTTCCTAAGCTAAGACAAAAATGTGTGAGCTGGAGGCTAAAAAACTGAGCTAGCTCACACTAACTCAGCACAGAGGGAACACTGGTGGGGGCTGCAAATGTAGTGTTTGTGTTGGCAGGAGGATAGTCCTGCCCTACAGCTCTGTCAGAAACTACAACAAGTCACAGTTGCTGACCTGAGGAACACTGCAGGACCTTGGCCAGTGCCTCACCTGCCAACTCTATACAAAGAGAGGACTGCAGAGAGACAAGTTGCACCAGCAAAGGAAACTTTCTGGCACCCATAGAAGGTGATACTCAGACCCTATGGAAGCTTCAGGTTCCAGTTTGCTTGCTCCAAATGAGCTGTTCAAATGAGGCTTGTTTTTGCTAATTCTGGGTTGTCTTCTCTTTGCTCTTCTCCCTTTACTTTGTCCGGCATGTAATTGCAGAGAAGCTGGATTTGACAAACTCCTGTTTCTTATATACCTGTTCAAAAATCTGTCCCTCGTAATGAACCATGACATGCTCTTGCTATGCACTGCGAGGCATCATGCGATATAAACAGCAGCACATAAGGTCACTCCATATACATAAGGCCCCAGTCAAGTGCTGTAATACCACTGCAAACAAAGAACAAAACCCTCTGAAAGCACCCAGATCACAACAGCTGCCTGTGGTGTAAAATCAGCTACTGTGCCCTGCACTAGATCAGTTGGAACAGGGATTTTTCAGATGTGGCCCCAAGGCTGTGAAATTCCCATTCCCAAGAGGTCTCTCAGGTCTCCTGGGAATGTTTGTATCTGTAGAATCTTGGCCTTCCATATACCTACAAACATTATTTTATCCTGGAGGTAGCGGTGCCAAGAGGTCTGAAAAAAATTCCTGCCAGTTTTACAGAGGCATAATGTGTAGAAATATGCAGTCTAAGTTTTTCAGGGCTTTTCATGGAGGTAAGTAACATCATCTGTTATGAAACCAGATATTAAGCCTCTGGTAAAGGAAAGGAGCTGCGGTGGCTCAAGTGGTTAAGACGCTGAACTGCAGGCTGTGGAAGGTCGGTAGTTCAACAGTTCGAGACCCGAGTGTGCCACATGACGGAGTGAGCTCCCGTCTCTAGTTCCAGCTCCTGCCAACCTAGCAGTTCGAAAGCAAGAAATTGCAAGTACATAAATAGGTCACTTCAGTGGGAAGGTAACAGCGTTCTGTGCACCTTGGTGTTTAGTCATGCCGGCCAGATGACCACGGAAATGTCTTCAGACAGCGCTGGCTCTTTGGCTTTGAAACGGAGATGAGCACCGCAACCCTAGTCGGATTCGACTGGCTTTTGAGCAAGGGTACCTTTACCTTTAAAGGAACAGGACATTTTTCTCCAGGCTTTGTCAGCAACCCTATTTAAAGGGCAGCTGGTGTGCTTATTCCCCAAAACAGTTTTAATCTGTGGATTTTACTGCTAATTGCTGATCTCATTGTCTCTTTTTTACTAATTTTGCTGCTTTGATGATTTTAAAAAAAATTTACAAATGTTTTTAGGATTGCTTTTCTTATGTAGCAGGTTGTAGTTTGTAATAGATGGACTGCAACTTGCATTATAATTTTATGGTATTTTCGTCTCATGTTGAGAGCTGTTGTACGTATCATTTTTTTAAGGCTGAAAAGGCAGGAGGCAGGGAAGGTCTTCTAAATAAATACACGCAACAGGGGGCCATTTCAAACCACCGTTTCCAACACAGACATCAGGACCTCGATTTCTATTTCCGCTTAATAGAGGAGCAATAAATGATGTCCTACCACATTAATCCCTCCAGCGTGACTCTTGGAGCCCACAGTCCCCACATCGGCCAACGGAGATGAGCACCGCAACCCTAGAGTCGGATTCGACTGGCTTTTGAGCAAGGGAACCTTTACCTTTAAAGGAACAGGACATTTTTCTCCAGGCTTTGTCAGCAACCCTATTTACAGGGCAGCTGGTGTGTTTATTCCCCAAAACAGTTTTAATCTGTGGGTTTTACTGCTAATTGCTGATCTCATTACCTCTTTTTTACTAATTTTGCTGCTTTGATGATTTAAAAAAAATTTTACCAATGTTTTTAGGATTGCTTCTCTTATGTAGCAGGTTGTAGTTTTTAACAGATGGACTGCAACTTGCATTATGATTTTATGGTATTTTCGTCTCCTGTTGAGAGCTGTTGTACGTATCATTTTTTAAGGCTGAAAAGGCAGGAGGCAGGGAAGGTCTTCTAAATAAATACACGCAACAGGGGGCCATTTCAAACCACCGTTTCCAACACAGACATCAGGACCTCGATTTCTATTTCCGCTTAATAGAGAAGCAATAACTGATGTCCTACCACATTAATCCCTCCAGCGTGACTCTTGGAGCACACGGTCCCCACGTAGGCCATTCCTAACAAATGGTCTTTTCCTGAAATATATCCAAATAAAAAGCAAGTGGAAGCCTGATTAGTTAATGCCGAAGATAAAATAGACTTCACACATTCATAACCATGTACCATATTACAACCAAACACTGGTAACCGACCTGCTTCAGGAATCTGGGAACTAGCTAAACAGAGACTCGGGTTCCTGGCTCTATAGAATTTTTAAAGCACAAATCTTACTATGCTTCTTAGATTAATTCAAAAGAAAAGATCCAGGCGTAAATTAGCACACTATTATGCTGTCTGATTTGAGACTAAGTCTGTGTAAGATCGGATAGCCCAACCTAGTCAGATCTCGGAAGCTAAGCAGGGTCGACTCTGGCAAGTACTTGGATGGGAGACCTCCTTGAAATACCAGAGGTGGGAGGTGGGGGCAGGCTTTATTCAGCCACCTCTCTGAATATCCTCCAGGCCTCCCAGTAGGGGTCAGTCACCAGAGGTTGTCATGACTTCCAGGTGCACACACAGTCAGTGACCAGAGGTCGCTATGACTTCCAGGTGTGTGTGTGTGTGCGCGCGCGTACACACACACACACACACATTTTAAAAATACCAAAAAAAGAGAGGTCCTCATACTCGAAAAGGTTGGGAAGCACTGCTCTGAAGTGCCTTAAAGTGAGAACCAGTGCAGTACAGTGGTTATAGAGTGTTCGACTAGGATCTGGCCAATATTTATGAACCATTACCATACTAACATGTAACTGAGTCATTCTCTAACTGAGTGCAAGGACATGAGTGACTCAAGAGTGCTCATGATAAATGTAACTAATTGATGAATTAAAAGGTTTCTTGAGAGGCAATTAGTCTCTTCTGAGGAAAAGCTCCAACAGTTTCAGGGGAAAAGCATGGATTTGGATGTCTGGGTCAGCATATTTCCCTGTAAGAATCCAATGCAGTTTTGGAGAGACATTTCAAATTATAGGAGAGATCTGGGACGGTATAGACAGCCTCTCCCCCAGCAATTTATCCTCTCCCAGGCACCTGGGGATCCAAATCAGCACTTTAAAATATAAAAAAACCAAAGGCAAGTGTAGTATGTTCCCCTGACTCCTCTTTTTAGCCTACCCCTTGTTTCTGGCTGCAGGCCTTTAAGTATTCTTAGTGACAGAGTGACTAGGGAACGGGAACTCTTACAGAACAAACTGTGCACTGTCGTGTCTTCGGCGCAAGACAAGGTCCTGTTCTCGCCACTGGACAAAGTTAGAAAGAACATCCCCTGCACCTCCTTCTATGCTGATCCTATTTGCTTTTGTCCAGATCTCCAAGCCCACCAAGACGACACGGATATTCAGCACACTATACATCTGTAAAAGCATAAAGAAATGCAGAGCAGAAATGGGAATTAAGATGGGATTCACCACGGTGAGTTTATCTCAGTTATTCCTAAATTGTTATCTGTTATTCCTAAACTGCATGGCAGGAAACTCTGCGTTATGAGAGGAGCTGAAGGCTGCTTTGAAACATTAAGCTGGCATGTTGGATGCATCCACCATTCTATGTCCCTTTGAGTGGGTGGAACCCTACAGCCACTGATCCCCCCCCCCCGCCAACAGTATTTGGGTAATGACATAATCCTGAGAAAGGGAGTAAGCATGCACTGAGATTTCCTGTCATGGTTTATTAAGAAACAGCTGACCACACAGGGGAATCCTTGGGCCTTCTCAGTCACAGCACCAAAATTATGAAACTCCCTCCCCAGGGATATTCATCAGTCCCCCTCTTCCACCACAGTCTTTTGCCAGTGGGTGAAGTCTTTATGTTTTATCGGGTGCTCCCTTCAATGATCTCACATTCCTGCCTGTTGTTTTAATTTGCTGTGCTTTCTTTTATATATGTATTAACTCTGTTTTAATTGGTCTTATAATGTATTTTTAATTATGCTGTTTTAATTGTTAGTTGCTTTGGTGGCCCTGATTGACCAGAAATGCAGGATATAAATATTGTAAACGGACATTACCCAACAAATTCATTGCCGGAGGATGTAGTATTGGCCACAAGCATAAACAGCTTTAAAAGGTGGTTAGACATTCATGGAGGATAGGTCTATCAATGGCTAATACTAGTCACAGTGACTAAAAGAACCTCCACATTCAAAGGCAATGAAACTCTGAATACCAGTCTTAGGAGGCAGCATCAGCAGAACGCCTTAGCCCCTATGCCCTATCGTTGGCTCTCCAGGGAATCAAAGTACAGGGCCAATGACTAAAAACTAAAAAAAAATGTATTTATTATCAGTTAGTTAAAAACAATTATGGGCCCAGTTGTAGCCTCAATTCAGAATAAAAGTGTACAACATACAGAAGTGGGACCTATTGCGACCAGATGCGTTTCGGCCAAAATGTGTTTGGTCGCAATAGGTCCCACTTCTGTATGTTGTACACTTTTATTCTGAATTGAGGCTACAACTGGGCCCATAATTGTTTTTAACTAACTGATAATAAATGCATGTATTTTTGAAAATATTTAAGTTATAATACAGTTTTTAGTCATTGGCCCTTTATTTTGTATGTAGCTAACCTTTCAGATACTTGATTCATTTGTTTGGGTTAAGGTCCCTTCCTCTTTTTTCCCTCTTTCTTCTTGGCCACTGTGTGAGACAGGACGCTGGGCTAGAGAGACCACTGGTCTGATCCAGCAGGGCTCTTCTTATGTTCTTAAACAAATAAACAGAAGAATCACCATGCTCCAGAAAGCAGTCCCATCCCTGAGTGACATAGCAAAGGGAGAATCAAGCAGGGAGGCAGACAGCACGCCCCAAAAGCTCAGAGTTATAAAATTTGACTTCTGACATTGAAAAAATATAGATTTTTTTTAAGCTTTAAAAGCACATGGCCCTCAATCAAAGGAAAGGTGAAGGAGTCAAAATATGTGCAGGTCTTCCCATGCTTCTTTCAAAAAATATATTGTCATCATCACTTATACTTTCACTTACACTGTCCAAGTAGTTGGCCAACTGCACCATCTCTTCTCTCACGGCACTTTCATTCTTGCCTAGCAGCACATACTACAAGAGAAGGAAAAACTTATGCATGAAAGGAAAAACAAGATTATTTTAAAAGAACAACACATTGACAGCATAAGTGCCACACCTCAAGCCACCATGGTTAAAAGCTGACTACGGTATGCCTAACAAGCTTCCAGAAGCTGTCAGTCTGCAGAACAGGTCTTTGTATTCACGCCACCCGACCAACATGTTTCAGAGAGAAAGGAAACAGAAAAGGATTAAGTTTCATTTATATGTTACTAGATTATGAGAAATGTTAGGAAAAGGCAGATGGATTGGGATCGTCTCAGGAATGAGCATTTGTCCGCAAGATAGCTGGGCTGAAGAACATGACTGAGAAACAATATTATAGGTTGTCGCAGAACTGAGGTTGATTCCAGAAGGGTCAGTGCAAGAAGAGAAGCAGGTAGTAGGATTGGTGACAGGAGGGATCCCAGAAAAGGCCTGACCAGTGGTGCAACACTTGAAGTAAGAAGGGACAAAGCCAGAAGCAGAGTCTGCTTTATTACATGGACAAAGGAGCACGCAACCTCACTGGTGGCAACTGTCCACATTTCAATTACCACTCCTTTTTCTTGCTGATTCAAGGACCTGCTTTAAAAATCTCAAGAGGTAGATGGTAGTATTTTTCCCCATTATTTCAAATCACTTCTTCAGTTGGTTCCATATCTAATTTTTTGTATAATTACTGCAACTGTGAATTTTACACATTTGTGTGGGGGTGTTGAAATGCAGCCAGAACTTCACTCCGGGGGTTCAGCGTTCTCACATGGCTGCCCACTCAGTTATGCAGCATCCAGGTTACAGGTCTGTCTGTTTTCACCCACAACTACTAAAGACGTCAGGCTTCCTCAAGTTTGGTACCTACTGGTTTTCAGAAGGCTTAGCAGATGCCTGCATGGGCAAATGAAAGTCAAGCAAAGAATCTAGATGGGGTTCTCTGTTCTAATACTGCTATTCCCTCAATCTGGGTAGCTCACAGTTTAAAGCGTTCCATCCACTTAACCCCTCAACCATGCAGCACCAGAAGGAGTTGGGGTTGGGAACTTCCTTCCCTCTCAGTGTGACCAGATGGCCTGTGGCTGTCTGGAACCACTGCTGGGGAGATAGTGGAAAGGAATGTGCCTTTTTGGTTCGGTTTTGCAAGAGAGCAGAGGAGAGGGAACTGTGCATTCCTTCCACCAAGGCTAGGTGCAAGAGACAGTGTATATGGCAGGGATCACTGCCACCTTAGAAAAGAAGTGACAATGGCTGATGAGCAAAGCAGCCATCCTTTTCTGAGGTACTTCTTTGGTGTCTTTTCCAAATAAGATAACATACTGTTATCTGTTCCAAGCAGATTATCTAGCATGACTGTGATTAACAGGAAAGATAAATGTAAGGACACGTAATCAGTCACAGAGGGGAGGGGTGGAGAAAGCTAATAGTTTAGCCTATCTAGCAGCGAAGCAGTGGCTCAAAGGACATAGCTCCAGCCCAGCTATTGCTGTGTTTCAAGTGTGTCCACAGCTGCTAACCCAAACAAAGCTGTTCTCCCACTGGGATAAGTGTAACCGCTTATGCTGGTCAATGCAGGATAATCATACCCTTTCATTGTCCACAACTATAAAGAGCTCCACGTATCTTGTCTGTAGAAGGACACCTCTTTTTCTCTGTAAAAAGTTAGGGGGGGGGAGAGAAAAACATTACAGTAAACTATTCTCTTGCCTACATTCCAAAAAATGACATCATCCTAATCCATGTTCCCATTTCAAACTGAGACCACTATTAAGATACACACCCAAAACACAAAGAGCCAAAACACTCCTAACAATTCTTTATGGCATAGATCAACATTTGTCAAGAACCCCCCAAAAACAATTAAATTGAACCACAATAGGAGTAACATGATGTTCACTAAAGCACCGTCATCCATGTCCAGATTAATTCCTGATCTTTCTTAAAACCACAGAAGCAAGTTTCTGTCTCTCTCGGACAGTGGGTTGGACCCAGGCTGAACTGGCATTTCTGCCAATTCCCCCTTCCTGCTGCAAACCATCCCTTCAAGCCATTCTTCATGTCCCCCTATCCTCTAGGGGCAGCACTTTGTAGAGGTCAGTGGGCTGCCGGGGGGGGGGGGGCAGGAAAGTTCCATTCTGTCATGGGTAAATACCAAATAAAGGTAAAGGTTCCCTTGCTCGAAAGCCAGTCGAATCCGACTCTAGGGTTGCGGTGCTCATCTCCGTTTCAAAGCCGAAGAGCCAGCGCTGTCCGAAGACGTTTCCGTGGTCATGTGGCCGGCATGACTAAACACCAAGGCGCACGGAACACTGTTGCCTTCCCACCGAAGTGGTACCTATTTATCTACTTGCAATTTCTTGCTTTCGAACTGCTAGGTTGGCAGGAGCTGGAACTAGAGATGGGAACCCATTCCATCATGTGGCACTCGGGTCTCGAACTGCTTGACTACTGACCTTCCACAGCCTGCAGTTCAGCATCTTAACCACTTGAGCCACCACAGCTCCAAAATACCAAATAGACATATGTAAATTCCTGTAGCATCACTATGGAGGCCATTTTCCAGCCATTTTTTTCTCCTGTTCTACAGTTTCTCAAGAGCAGGGGATTGGGGCCAAGGGCAGAGGGCTTAACTATCATGGGTGGCTAATGGCAATCCTATCAATAGGGCCAATAGCATTCCCCAGGGCCATTCTAGTTTGGGAAAACACCATGGCAGGAAGGTTTAAGAACCCTCTACTCACACACCATGGTCCCAACCTGAATTCAGCTTCCACTCTCTTGGGAATTGAGTCACCAATAAAGATTTTGTGGTAGACACGGACATGATGCAAGTACTGTGTAACATGTAGTTAATCCCTTAGTATTTGCCCCAGACTCCCAAATTCTTTGAACAATGAATCCTGAATACATAGACATGAAAGGTACATATAAACAACTTTGTATACTTTATCCTAAGTGCAAAACATGGAGCGGGGGGAGTGCGTTTGAATAGCCCATGGCTCTTATAAACAACACAGTGGCCATTTTAAAGCTGTTACTCAATTGGTGGCCCAAGATTGCCAGCCAGCCCCCCTATAGTGGGGGCAGAGGGTCCCCCAGTCCCAGCTGGCGTTACCCCTGCTGTTCTGAGAGGTGGTGGCAGAAAAATAAAATTTAAAAAATTGCTGTTGGCATGATGTCATTTCTAGGGAAATCCAGAAGTGACATCGTGCCTCTTTAGGAATTGGCCAAACCTCTATGGTAAAACCACAGAGTTTTCAGAGATTCCTAGAGAAGACTCATGTCACTTTCAGGTTTTCTCAGAAGCGACATCTTGCTGTCAGCTACGCCCATGCCTTCCCTCCAGTCTCCTGGCAACCTTAGCCTCAACTCCGTCCCCCACCATGCATCTCAACCACTTTTTTCCTCAGCAGCTGAAGCACAGAAAAAAGCCCTATCTGAGCAACAGTGGCACTTTTTTCCTCAGCAGCTGAAGCACAGCAGCTGAAAAAAGCCCTATCTGAGCAACAGCAGAGACTTGGGCAGAATTCTCCCCTCGTTCACCCTCTGAGCTATGCACTTCTGACGTGAACAAGGGGAGAAGATTGAGAGACATTCTTAGACCATAAGGCCGCCCTCTATACAAAATACGGTCCCATCAGAACTAGGGGCTGAGCTTAATTTGAAGGCTGCTTTTGTGTAAAACATTTCACATACACCCCAGAAAAAAAGAGTTCCCTCCTATTTCGTTTAGGGCACGCACACACAGGGGTAGAAATGTTCACCCCTTTGAAAGTGGCAGTTTCTACTTTCAAGGAGGCGACCTGAAGCATAAACCCCTTCCCCCTCTCTTGGCAAGAACTTTACTGAGGGTGGACTCGCGATGTTTTCATTTAAAGGTTATTTTTCAGATGGGGGGGTGATGTTCTTTCAGAGGAAACTTCATGCTCCCCCCCAATTCTCCTTTTGCTGCAAAAAGAGCCCCATCAAATCTGGCACAGCTCCAGCTGGTGACCAGAGATTTATCGTGAAATGCTACAAACACATCAGGCACTCCTAACATGTTTGGGCACACCTCTTTGCTTAATTCATAAACCACTTGGGGAATTTTTGTGGGAAACTGGGCTGTCAGTCAAAATATTAAATGAAAGAGGGAGAAAAAATAAACCAAGTTCCAATCCACAAAGAAAACCCCCCTCCCTCAAAGTACTCACTCTCAGCAGCTGAGTCCCACTGTGAGGGTGTAAATGGTCCGTTGTTTCCCATTTCCGACCTGGGTCAGCAACCCCACAAGCCATGGGCTCTTTCTTCACGTTTTCCATTCGGTAGACAATGTGTTGAAAGCCAGAAGGCGACTCCATAGGTTCAATTCCATAGGTGATGTTCTCGACTTGCAGCAATCCCCTGGCAATTACATTATCTCATGCATTAAAACCCATTATTCTCTGGGCCGGGGGGGAAAGGCTATGGAACATCACAGAGAGGAAATCAAGAGGTTTTTTTAAGGATGCAGAAGTCGCACACGGCACAGTCCAATTCAGACTGCAAGTGCAGAACTACCTGTTTGTTGCACTGTTCAAGCAAACTTCCCTGAGTATAGAAAGCCAGCATTTCAAAGAGAAGTCTAGGCTACCTCTCCAACATGCTCCCCTACTACTGGCTTCTGCTGAGAGGGATCCTATGGAGGGGCACAACAGGTCTCTATGTGAAGAGCATACAAAGATGGGCTCAGCTCCTCCGTCAGGGGTCCTAGCAATACACAAGCACCCCCTCCCACTGTCTTAAAGAGCATAATTTTGCCAGTAAAGGCAATTCTGCTCCAGAAGCATATCACAAGATCTGGAATCAGGAGAGGCAGCCTTGAATAAAACATTTTGTCCAATGCATGGAGTAAAAGTCTTCCTCTTTTGCTTGGAATCCTGAGCAGATGGGGAGGATACCTGCCCACCAGCCTTTGAAGTGTCAGGTATGTGGGACAGGCGGTGGGGACTGGCTGGCTTTACCATTCTGTGCTCCTTTGGAGAAGAATCTTTATTGATCTATTAAATTTTTATCCTACCCGTCCTCCAAGGGATACACATTTTCCCTTTCCTCTGTTTTATCCTGGGAGGTAAGTTAAGCTGATAGAAAGTGAGGTCACCTAGTGAGCTAGGATCTGAACCTAGTCTGACACTGTAGCCACTACACCACCCCAGATGTCCAGCTAGGCAAAGATAGCTGATGCTGGAATAAATGAGAAACGTTTCAGTGGCCAAGGAGGATCTGTTTAATGAGGGGCAGTAGCTTTTCCTGAGAGACCATGGGAAGTAAGCCAGCCACAATCCATGAAGTTTCTCCTACTCTGATGACCTACTAGAAGTTGGGAGCCTATCAGTTGGATCACAGTGACAGCATTTGGCAAATCAAAGTATTAACATAACAACAAGCAATAAAGCAAGCAACTTCACTGCAATCATTCCCAGCTGTTCCTACTCCCCTACATGACATCAGACATATCCCTTAGCCAGCTGTGAGCAACTCAAAATGTCAGACACCATTTTTAAAATAAATAATACAGAAGGAATGTCCTCAGCTACAATTTGGGAAGCAAGCAAAGCTTTTATTAGAAGAATCTTCCTTGAAGCTGCCACCAAAAAGAAATGAGAAAAATCAGAACAAACCAAGATAATAGTTGAAAAAATTCAAAACCATACAGTGGCATTCTCCTTGTTTATTATCATAATACTTGCAAATATTTATTTCAGCTATACCTCAGACACGTTTTCCCTAATCTGTACCCTTAGGTGGAAAAGTCCAGAAAGGGCTGTACCACACACTACTGAAGCAGTGCTCAAGCCCTTGTTAACAAATCAAATATTCCAGCACATGTAGCCACATGTAGTCACAGATCCCAAGTCTGCAAAATGTAATTTCTAAATGAAGAACTCAATCTGATATATTCCAGGAGACAGAGAAAGCACATGTACCTCAGCAAAAGACAAGATTGCATCCATTACCTGAGTCCAAAGCAAGTGCTGACAGCAACAACAGAATCTGACATTCCTTCAACGTATCCCTGATAGTGGCAGTGGCCCTAAGGGGGGGGGGGAGAGAAGACAGAAAACTAAGAAAAAGGCTTTACAATCCCAAGCGGAGTCACACTCTTCTAAACCTACTAAAGTCAGTGGGTTTAGAAGATTGTAACTGTGCACAAAATGGCACTGTTGGCACAACATCTACATGGCACATTTATTTGGTTAAAACTACTTTAAACAATCAGGAGTTCCCCAAGGAATCCAAGCTCTTACAATTTTGTGGGAGCCAAGGTTCTCAGAATGTTACAGTTCATAGTAGGTAACGCATCTTGCACAAGTACAACCAACATGGAGAATACACAAACTCCTTTATACACCATGATGCCTTTTCCCCCCTGAATGTCTTCCAGCTCTTCTTAGTCACATCAGATGTTTTGTTTAACCATTGTAATGTAGTGTCAGAGTCTGGTTTCATTAGGGTTGCCAAGTTGTTGCAGTCGCCGCAGCAGGGGACTCCCGGGGGGCGACTGGAGCGCGCGCGCCGCACGCACGTCACACGCACGTCACACAGAGTTTTCCCTCCGATGGTCGTGGCCCCGCCCCCAGCGTGCCCGACGTCCTAACGTCACTTCCGTGTGACGTGCATGCGGCATGCGCGCTCCAGTCGCCCCCCGGGAGTCCCTGCTGCGGCGACTGCAACAACTTGGCAACCCTAATGAAACCAGACTCTGACACTACATTACAATGGTTAAACAAAACATCTGATGTGACTAAGAAGAGCTGGAAGACATTCAGGGGGGAAAAGGCATCATGGTGTATAAAGGAGTTTGTGTATTCTCCATGTTGGTTGTACTTGTGCAAGATGCGTTACCTACTGTGAACTGTAACATTCTGAGAACCTTGGCTCCCACAAAATTGTAAGAGCTTGGATTCCTTGGGGAACTCCTGATTGTTTAAAGTAGTTTTAACCAAATAAATGTGCCATGTAGATGTTGTGCCAACAGTGCCATTTTGTTTGCAAATCTGCAGCATAAACCTAGCACATGACTTGTAGAAGGCATAACTTCCAAACTGCAAGATGACATAGTCCCGCTGTACACTGCATTGGTCAGACTGCACCTGGAGCATTGCGTGCAGTTCTGGAGACCTCGTTTCAAAAAGGATGTGGACAGAATAGAGCGGGTGCAGAGGAGAGTGATGAAGACAATTGGGGGCCTGGAGACCAAGCCTTATGAGGAAAGGCTGAGGGACTTGGGAATGTTTAGCCTGAAGAAGAGGAGGTTGAGGGGGTACATGATTGCTCTCTTTAAGGATCTGAAGGGCTGTCGCTTAGAGGAGGGCAGGGAGCTGTTCCTGTTGGCAGCAGAAGATAGGACTTGCAATAATGGGTTTAAATTAAGAGCGGGAAGGTACTGGCTGGATATCAGGGAAAGGTTTTTACAGTAAAAGTTGTTCAACAGTGAATCAGCTGCCTAAGGAAGTGGTGAGCTTCCCTCTCCCTGGCATTCTTTAAGCAGTGGCCAGACAAACAACTTGTCAGGGATGCTCTAGGCTGATCATGCATTGAGCAGGAGGTTGGACTAGATGGCCTGTATGGCCCCTTCCAACTCTGTGATTCTATGATTCTACCCCTACTGGGGGCCTGGAGCGTATTCAGAGAGGTGGCTGAGTGAAGCCTGCCCCCACCTCCCAACTGCTGGTATTCCAAGGAGGTCTCCCATCCAGGTTCTTGCCAGAGCTGACCCTGCTAGCTTCCACGATCTGACGAGATTGGGCTTGCCTGGGCTATCCAGGTCAGGGCACTTTTACGTAATTGTTTGATTGTCTGACTGTTTTCACAATAGATGGCTAATTTTAAATTTAACAACGGGTGGTGTACTGGACAGCAACAAAGGAGCCAAAGAGAGCCAAGCTCTGCAAACCAAGAGGAGCTGCTGTGCTGAGAAGCGGAGCCACGTAGGACTGACAGTTGGAAAAGGTCAGTTGGAGATGAGGGTTAATTGAAGGAGTTAGCCTGACAAGGAAAGAGGGATGAGGATCAGTGTGGGGAAAAGTCTTTATTGTTAATCACCTTATACTGTCCAGGAACAGAGTCTAAAAGTTACAGCCGGGTTCACTGGGTTTATTTGTAAAGGTATAACGCATTCAGGCCTGCTAGCAAAGGGTTTCTTGGTATTTATAGTTTACAAGCATGTCAGAACATGAATTGCAATTCTCTGTGTTACTTGATTACCTCAGTTCTTGTTGTACCCAATAAACCTTCTTATTGTTCTCTCTCTCAAAAAAACCCCTTCATCCTTATGTCAAGTTTACCTCATGTCTCTGTTGTTGGCCACAGGCAGCTGTCACATCCATAGCAAGTTGTATCTTGGGCCAGTTTCAGAGGGTACCTGTGTTAGTCTAATGAAAAAAGCTCTGACTCTTGAAAGCTCAAACCCTGAAAATCTTGTTGGTCTCTCAGATGCTACTAGACACTAATCCAGCTGTATCTCGGACCAGTATTCTTGCTGGCATCCCTGGTACAGTGGGGAGGTGTGAAGGTGGCTAACCTGGAGTGGTGTTTGGTGAGGGGGGCTGTTAAAGGGATGCACCCAAGGAACTGTCAAAGCTGCTCACTTTTTAATTGTTCTAATTATGGTTTTTAAAAGGAGCTGCGGTGGCTCAAGTGGTTAAGACGCTGAACTGCAGGCTGTGGAAGGTCAGTAGTTCAGCAGTTCGAGACCCGGGTGCTGCAAGACGGAGTGAGCTCCCGTCTCTAATTCCAGCTCTTGCCAACCTAGCAGTTCGAAAGCAACAAGTTGCAAGTAGATAAATAGGTACCACTTCGGTGGGAAGGGAACAGCATTCCGTGCGCCTTGGTGTTTAGTCATGCCAGCCACATGACTACAGAAACGTCTTCGGACAGCGCTGGCTCTTCGGCTTTGAAACGGAGATGAGCACCGCAACCCTAGAGTCGGATTCGACAGGCTTTCGAGCAAGGGAGACCTTTACCTTTACCTTTAATTATGGTTTTAATTATTTTTTGTACATTGTCTTGGAGAACATGGGTTAAAAACCAATCTAAACTTAAATAATTTAAATAAACAGAAGTGGAAGGATGCACTGAAATCTAGACTTGCCCCCAACACATTTATTTGAGGGACTGTTGGCCCTTAGGGAACACTTCTTCTCATGTGAGTCCCTCCCCATACACTGATACTTGAAGGGAGGCATCAGCATGGCATAATACCATACACTCCATCCTGCAAAGTAGTCATTTTCTGCATGGAAACTGATCTCTATCAGCTAGAGATACTTTTTGTTACTCCTAGGGGCTGTCATTCCTAGCTGGGGCCTGTCATTCCAGTCCCAGAGTATTTGGGCCCAGAGACCCAGTTTCAACTCCCCACTTTGCCATGGGTTGCTGGGTGAGCCTGGGCCAGTCACAGCCTCAGCCTAACCTCCCTCACAGAATTCTTGCAAGGAGAAGATTGATGGGGGGGGGGCATAACATAAGCTGCTTTGGATCCCTCTTGGGTGGGGGGAAAGGCAGGGCATAAGTGAATAATAATAAATAATTTCCACTGAATCTGATCTGAGGCAAGGTTCAAACTTATA